CATCGTTGATGAGTTATGCAAACCCTCCTTCACACGATTGGGGCTAAACATCCGTGATCAAAATTGCTCTAAGTATACTAAGCACTAAGTGTGTCGAGGTTATCTGTGTCTAACGTCATCAGATTGGGGGCCAATTATTGTCACCAATTAAAACTGGGCAGACAGGATCAACTTATATGCCGATTGCAGAAAATATTTCTCAATGAACGTAAACGCCCTTCAATGAACATAACTGACCGATAAATGGCATTTTAAGTGTCAGTTTACTGTATTGGTGTATCTCTTCCGTGAGAATGTAACCGTTTGATAAGGTAACATTACATTCCAGTACGCCATTGACCTTGTGTGTATGTACCATATTTTGTCTACATGTATCTGTATATTGCACAGTGGGTGTAGGAGTATGCACCAAATGAACAGTCATGCAAGCCCGCTAAAGTACACAGTGTGACACCTAGTTTCAGTAAGCACGATACTTAAGTTCCAAGAAACTGAGTCTGGACCGGGCTCTCAGAAAGCTTATTGCACGGTGCGAACGCTTCTGAGATGCCGAGACACGAAGTGTTAATTGAAGTTTCCACGGTACTAACATTTCAGAGACACCCAGTTTCAATATTCGAATTTGTACGATGCTCACGATTCTAAGACACTTTGTTTCGAGTCCAGTTGCAAGACGCGAACGTTTCCGAAACACTTAGTTTCAGTGTAAGGTTTCACAATACTTACGCGTCCGAGATACCTAGGCCGTTTTCGTTTAAAGAGTTAAACCGGTCAGACCACAGTTGTTAGTTTATTAAATAAGGTCGAACCTAGTATGCTGCTTTCAGGCGAGCATCGACAAAGCCCTGCAAGGCTGCATACACATTTACAGGTCCGCCAGGATTTATACCCGAAATTGTTACATTTAAAAACGGACAATTCGGTTGTTCCGCACACATCAACAGGCCCCTAGTTTTCGACTCCAGTTTGCAAGATGTATTTTATTTTGTTTTTATTTTCCCCGGTTTCTGCTGTAGTCCTTCGTACCCTAGTTTACGGTCCTGTATTAACGTGACGGTTGTTTTTGTTTTATTTATTTTTTCCGGTTTAACATATGATAGGCACAGGGTTGCCATAGGCCTTGGCAATTTCATAGCGGTAACACGGTTCTTACCGTTTATTATCTCAAATATAGCATGAATAAAGCAGATGATTATTGGCTCACCTGGTCCGAAGGACCAAGGTGAGCTTATGCCATACCGTTGCGTCCGTCCGTCGTCGTCCGTCTGTCCGTCCGTCTGTCCGTCAACAATTACTTTAAACGACTTTTTCTTCTTAACCACTGATTGGAATTCAACTAAATTTGACTGGAAGCATCCCTAGGTGGTGGGGATTCAAATTGTACAAATGGTGGGGCTGACCCCCAGGGGGCTGAGGGGCGGGGCCAAAACAGATATTATTAGCAATACATCAAATAATGATCATCATATAAAACACTTGACTAAGGTAAAACAGATATGAGATTGAAATGATCAGTGCATTTGATACTTGAAACAAGGAAATGAAGTTAAGGATATAAATTAACTTTATATCTAGAAAGGTTCGTGATTGTTAGGCATAAAGAGACGAATGCAGTCAAGATATTAGCATTGACCCGGGGTCTGCCCCAATCTTGCAGACTTAACACCTGAGTCATAACTTTGAAATGGTTGAGATTCCCACCTCACAACTGTAAATACAAATGCTGGGCATAAAGAGATGAATGCAGTCATGATATTTGAATTGACTCTTGGGTCTGGCCACAACCCAACGGACATAGTTTCTGAGTCACAGTTTGGAAAGAGTTTAGATCCCTACCCCATAATTAACCATACATAAAATTGCTGATCATGAAAAAATCTAATACAGATTTGCTACAAGGATTGGCCTTGGGGTCTGACCCATTCCCTTGGATCGTATTTGCCATGATCGCTGTGGTATCCAGGTGAGCGATACAGGCCCTCTTGGCCTTTTGTTCCTAAATAATTAACGTATCGTAACTATTGTGTGATATTTACACTTGTTCAAATAGATTTCAAATATCAATTTATAATCAATTATCTGTATTTTGTACGAGATCTGGATATTCTTGATGCATGTATATTTTATCAATATGCTGGAATTAAATCCTAAAGGCTTTTCAAAGAAAACAACGCCTGCGTGGAATGGCCTATTTGTGTATGTGTAGCAACTGTCAATACTATTAATTGTGGTATCGATAGTGCACGGGCGGCCTTTCCGTTTTGATTCAAATGTGAACGTAATGATACAGCCTGGCGATGACCACAATTGTAATTTGTCGAGATAAAATGATAAACGTGTAAGCTGGCGTTATTTGCAAACAGCAAATCTTAAGTAAAACAAAAAGGACCGTTGTAAGTTATGATGTGCATGTGGTCGTCTAAATTGCCATATAGTTTGACGTGTTCACCGTTTGGATCTTTCGACGTAGGCCTGAAGTTGGGAAGGATTTATCTCAATTTTTGTTTCTTGAAGTAATTGCATTGTCGATCCGTTTAAAAAATAAATAAAGCAGTGTCGAATTCGATTTCAAGATAATATACATTTGTTAGCTCAAGGTTGCGTGGTGTAGGCGGACAACGTTTAGCTGCTAGAGATCGTGATACACCATAGACATACATGTACGTCAGTAGCATTGCAATGCAATCAACACCCACACTTTAACTACAGTAAAGGGCCCATTTCCAAATATACCCATGTGAGCAATTCCAGTCAGTTTTGTCTGAAGAAAAGTTGTGGGAGTAAAGAATCAATTATTCAAACCACCTTGACACAAAAATAGAACAATAGAAATAGAACGATCGTATGACTCCGTCACAAAACATTTAAATAAATCGAATGACAAGTGAAGATATTTAAATATTGATAAAACATCGGAACGTGTTTTTGTCTTTTCGATAGTTATATCGCTACAGTTTGAATAAAGTATCGATGGAAATCGAAGGATGTTTAAACTTCTATCGAAACACTGTTTTACCATAGCCAATGTATTGTAGTATTGTATTTGTCGAGGATTCGGTTACAAGTGTGATCTACAGAAATTTGCTGTTTGTATTGCTGAATTGTTAGTCCTCACATTGAATTCGATGTTGACTCTCGTTTCACACAAACAATTTCTAACACTATTGCACATCTAAACGGGTATGTTAGCCTTGATTGGGTGCTTGATAACAAGAACGCTTCTGACCAAAAAAGTGAACCTCGTACTAATGAAGGATCTGTTGAGGCCTCTTTGGTATACTAATTAGTTCAAATTTCTGTAAAGCCAAAAGGTCAATTGGCTGCTAATACAAGATGTATAGTTTTGCGTTAAGTGTAGATTATGGCTTTTAAAGTGTTGGCTGTTTAATACGAAAAGCGAAAAGAGCTGAGTATAACTTGAAACAAACTGGTGTATAAGCCTCCTTGGCTACTTAACCATATCATTGGACTATGACTAGGTCAGTGGGCTAGTTTGGTGCTCACGGTGAGGGCTTTGTGACCCTGTTTCGTAGACGTCAGGTAATATATTTTTCATGATCCCCATTTGACATTTCAATGGTTAATAACAAACTATGAAACTTTCATAAACAGTGTCATTATATCTATATCAAGAAGTAATTGATTCAGTTTCAGTTTGTTATAGGGCCAACATTTTTGTTTTACACGTTGAGACAGTAATTTGCGTGATCATTACATTTGAAATCGATTTAGAATGTCTGACTAGTAAGTCATCGTAGGACCATTTAACTGTATTAGAAATAGACAAAAATGGTAACCGTAGGGTCAGCACACTAGCAACCCCAAAGGAACTTACATAAACTGAAATAAATATCACACGAAATCAGAGAAATAATGTTGTCAATCCATTTTTTAAATTGAAAACAATGTCCACGGTTAACCGAAAGTTGTTTGAAAACAAAGAGGTTAGTTACGGGTCTTTTTCTTTGTTTCTTTCAAAACATTCCTGATATGATTTTAAAACAATCATTTGCTCAACAATCATTTGCTCTATATTCCTGTTCCAACAGGGGATAGAATTCCCATGAGACATGACGCTATATTGCAACTTCATTTTAAACATCTTCTTTTCGGCATTCTTCTTATCCAATATAATGTTTTCCAGCCTTTAAGGTTGTCATTCGCATCCCCGTTTCTCATCACGTAAGGTGAACACATTAAGGTAGGTCTACAGATTATATGATTAGAACAGCGCATTTGGTTTAGTACCATATTTTAATAACGTTTTGAAATGAATGGAACTGAAGTCCATTGACTAGAATCTAATCTCATATATTGCTGTTTTCTTCCTTCTTCCTACATTGCCTGAATATGTGAAACGTTGCAATTCTCATTCTCTTTGTTGAAATGAAAAGCCATTAAACTGTTCGAAATATATGATTAGTTGCTATTTTGCAGAAAGAATCATGGCAAAAGTATTGTATATATATAATTAACTAATTAATTAGTGTCTCGTAAGCCGTATCACATTAAATTACATGTTTTATTTAAAAATATATTTTTTTACCAGGGATCAATGCAGGGGTTTGGTTTATAAGTGGGTAAGCTCCCTTTAACTTTGAAATATTCTTAAATATATTAAAGCCATTGATCATTGTTTAAAGTTTATTTTTCTCTTTCGTGTTTTAAAGTTGTAAATGTACCTTTGAGATGGGACTTCGAAAAACCCTCGCTGGTAGGGACTGGCCCAACCGCTTGAAGCTAACCGTTTTTTCAATTTCCTTTTAACCTGTTATAACCATAGGTCACAGACCTTGAAATATTATTTAATTTCTTAATTATTGATCAATACTAAAATTTTGCCCTTTTAACCGTGTTTTAAACTATTAAATGTAACCTTAAGAAGGGACCTCGAGAAGCCCTCGCCGGTAGAGCTCTCCCCAACCGCTTGGAGCCAATCGATATCTCAATTACTTTTAACCTGTTATTCCTTTTTTTTAACTGATAATTTTTTTTTTTCATTAAAGTTACATCGTATGATTGCAGTGGCGCAGAGCGACCTGTCTTCGCTGGTAGGGCTCTCCCCAACCCTAAGGTAGCGCACTTCGAGTCACTGCAACCTACATGTTAATAATAATAAGAAGGGTAGTCTCACAATAATCTAATGTCGATATTGATCCCTATTACAAGTGTTTTTTTTTATGTTAAACAAACTATTTTAAGTTCTAGGAAACAGCCAACTGAAAGTATTTTATATGTACCAATGGAATTGATTTATATTTTGTACAAGTATTTTATATGTATTAATGAACATAAATGTAATTGTGATATGTAACACTTAAATAAACAAATTGAACTTGAACTTGAACTTATATATCGAAGTTATTGGGCAGTTTGTTAGAATATATATAAGGTATATAGTCAGTTCATCGGAAGAAGTAAGATTTCATTTCAGAAGGTTGTATTGTATATTTTTTTTGCATAGTAAGGAATTGGGCAACAGGCAAAGTCTATCAAAGCCCTCTCTTTAAACAAGTCAGATTACGACGTTCCTAGAAATGTGCTTTTTTCTATTTGTACCCTTTTGTAACTTCCTTGATTGTGGTGCTGCATTTTCTGAGTTTGCACATTTAAGTTACTTGTGTATTTGCCAAAAGGTTAAGTGTACTTACATGTGTATACACTAAAAGGATACTATACATTGAATTTTAGATTAAGTCGTCGAAGATTTGTTGCCAATATTTTCTTTCTATCTATTTCTTCATATTTTTTAGAATTCCTTTTTAAGTGATTACCTGTACTCAAATGTGATATGTTTATTCATCATTACTTTCCAACTTGTTGACAACAACAAAGACCACATACATTTTACAAAGTTGTACTGGCAATAACGTGTTGATGTGAAGCTGGGCATCGCTTCGTAGAATGGCTCAGTTCATATATCTCATAGGCTTCTCCTTCATAAAGCTCATCGTAAATCTTAAAACTGTTGGAGTTCGTAGGTGTTCCTAATTGAACGGCCAAACGAATGTCAGGGTTATGGTTCTTGAGTTGAAGTGCTGTCGTGCGGGTGGTATCAATGTGCAGATCCCCTCTCTGCCAGATGGGCTCCAATTATGCTTCAAACTTGGTAAGAATAGTATTTAGATAATGTTTGAGTAGTGATGCAGGGTCACGGGGTTAATACAAGCTAATTCGAAGCACGCATAAACAAGTGGTCTGGTCCAACAGTCAGGTAAGGTTGCCGATATACTAAATATTGTCTGATCGCTCCGATTCTCACCATGTACGGGTGTCTATATTTCATATATCGTCTTTGTTCCATCTTTGGCCGTCTATTGTTGTCTACATTACATACCTGTCGGACGTGTCCCCTTTCGTGCCAATTGTTTGTATTGAATATTATGTTTTGTTTACCATCTACCTATCATGGGCAATCGCCGTATTGGAATTATCTAATTTGTCTTTTTCCTCTATCATGTACAGTTTTCATGTATCTACATATATCATCTGCCTACTCGTCTGGGCTTTACGTACAGCTGTCTAATCGTAGACATTCTCTGACTTCTCCTGGTCTCATGCTAAGAACAGTTGTCTTCGTAGTGTGTATGGTACTGCTCCAACCGGTATAAACTGTTCTGTATGCAATATATTTTATGTCTAGTATGACCTCTCTCATCCATAAACGATTGTATACATTAAACACATCGTATTGTCCGACTCATCTTCTTTCCTCGAATTTATGGTATCTCACATGCCATGTTAAGAAAAGTTAACTGTCTTGTTTTAGAAATCTACTTAATATTTTTCTTAGGGACATCCTCCTTTAATTTCACTCTTTTGGCTGTTTGTATAACATATCAAATTATTTGATGTAGTCATTTTTACAAAATATGTCGTATTTTTCAATACTGGCCGATATATATGTCTGCGTCTGTTGTGTTTACATAGATCATCGCATTATAGTTAGTATTCCTTCCAGACACGTCTCTAATAGATGAAAAGATGGTTGCGTAATCAACACTTCACTGACGTAATGTAGGTATATTGGGTAATGAACGTACAGTATCTGTCTTCCTGTACACATTCATAAGCCATTTAAAAAAAAAACAATTTCGTGTATGTTCAATTATGTTCGTATATAAATAAATGTATGTGGCAACGAGCAAAGGTTAAACAGTGGTATAATGCCGTTGTGTTTTGCTCTGTAAAATCTGTTTGTCTAAAGCATTTGCAAAACAGTTATATATCAGCCTGTACAGTCGACATGTATTGAATGCAAAACATATTGCCTCTACGCTTGTTGAAGAGTTTCCTTTTTCCATGATATTGACGGATTTATTCATGTTTTTGCACAGATAGAAGTTGAAATATAGCCTTCGTGAAAAGGTGAGAAAACAGTCTTTGATGTTTAAACGAAATAGGTACAAGTCTTTTTGACTCTTTAACGAAGAAGTAAATTGGTCCCGACTATGCCTTACAAGATGTATTTCTAGGGGTATAACAGCTACGGCTGACCTCGCCGATCTTTTGCCTGCTATCTGTCGTTTCAGATCAAAGACACTACCAAGGAGTAATTGGTCTCTTCAATGAGCACGAACGCTGGTCGGTGGTAATTGCGCCTTGCTTTTAGGCAATGTGGCGCAACTGTAGTGGGACCTACATCGGGTGTTTTTGTTATAAGTATGATCAGTTAGGGAAGTTTAATGACGCACGTGAGTGTATATAGCATCAGGAGGTAGGCGGTTAACGAAAAGCAAACAAGATACGATAAAATGTACTAAATTTGAATAATTGGGTACATTACAATTGATTGTGTTTAGGATACAATGGAATGACCACCATAACGTCGAATAAATGTTCGCTATATGCATATCGATAATTCGGTCGAAAACAAATTCTTAATCAAATTTCCATATTTACTACTTTCGTTTCCCGTTTAACAAACTGAATTATATTTATTATCATATTAGTCGTCCTTGGCGAACTGTCTTTCGACTGACCAGCAAATACATTGCTATTGTAATTCACATTACTTCTGTAGTTGTTAGCACTAACTCCTCGGAACATTAAACACCTGCGTGTAGAATTAAGAATTACCGTACAAAATGTATCAAATCGTCTTTTTCTATTCATTTCTTATTGCTTCTATTTCAGAAAAAAATCCGGTTTGTGTATCATGTCGTCAACACCAAAGCACTTAAAGCCTATATCACTTATATCAACAAGAACGCAACTAGAATTGTTCTTGACTTTCCAGTCGATATTGATTTTTTTGTTATCAAGCCTTGCTATTCACGTCATATATATGAATCTTTTCCATTTCCAGAAAGCCCACAACATTTGCAACTGTTGATGACGACAAAGGAAGGCATTTGTTTTTTGGACTCCCAGGAAACCCCGTGTCCGCCATTGTGACGTGTAACCTATACGTCATACCAGCACTCAACAAAATGCTTGGTGATGTAAGTCCTGAGAGGACAGTGATCAAGGCAAAGGTGGGCTATGTCTTTGTTACGGCCATTTTGTCTGCTTGTTTCATTGGTGTGTATAAAATCTATAAAATTGGGGATAGCTACACTGACAATAGTGCTTGAATTGACAACGCTTTAAGTAAAAAGATACATACATATTATAAACATACATCACAATTTAGTGTTTGGCGTGTGATCTTTTTGCCATATGATTACTCCCAATGTAAGGAATTCATATTTTATTTTGATGATACGCATTGGCGATTCCTGAAAGCAACAATATGTCCTACCGTTAAAATTGCATTGGTTTCTAATTTCCAACCGACCCTCCTAACAAGACACACAAATACATCAGAATCTTACAAATCCTTCTTTTCATAACCTAATATACACCCTACTTGCCAGAACTGCTTCAAAAGTAATAAGCTACATAAATACACTATACTCACCACAAGTTTTACAAGCTTTCAATTTGCAAACATTTTGTCCTACTCACACACATATATATACATATGTATACTTACCTCTAGTCCTACCGTACACACAGATATCTTTAACATGAGTCTAGCGAACACACATAGTAACACTGGCTAAAACCCCTACCCTATCAAAACTACATAGATACTTACCTCATGTCTACTCCAACAATGTTAGAGGTTTTACACGGTGAAAAACTTTTGACAGGCGCCGCGTAACCTCTAACTGCCCATAGCTGATTTTCCCGATGCTGACGATCAAATTTTCAAAGTTCGGATTTAGAAAAAGTATAATGTGTTTACAAACATTAAAATGTTCAGCAGGGTCCAATAAATGTTCCTTTCCATAAATCCATGATTAAATAAGAAGAATTTGGTGTCAAAGACCTAAAAAAAAGTGTTTCCTCTTTCAAAGTGAAAAAAAAAAGTTTTTCCTCTTTCACAAGTGAAGCAGACAACTCTTGCCATGATTTTCCGGTGAATCCAAAAATGGAATACATGTGATATTTATCAAGCGGAATACAAACAAACTCCATATCGTTTCGTTCCGTTTGAAATAGAAGGTCAGAGAATGCTACAACGACATTGACATGTATTTTGAGTGTTCTATTCCTTAATATATTATATAGTTTTGTCTGTGGCATACATATGGGATATATATTACATGAACCGTGAGTAGACATCGGTGTCATTAACTGTGAACCACTTAATTGAGTTTTTCAAGCCGATTTAGTTCCGCCCGGATTTCGGGCGGAAACTGCATCAAAGAATTAGTGCTTAGGAAATGAGAGGTAGCATTCGGCAAAATCATATCCGATAGAAAAAAGGCCGACCAGCGGCCTCTCATGTTATAGGAGTAAACTCCGGTCCTACCTTAGACATATACAGCCATTCACCAGTCCTACTTTATACAAATGATAAAGTACACGCATCATTATTTCAACCTACACAGTACACGTATTCTCATCACTAGTCCTACTTTATTTTAATATATGATTATTCACCAAAATGTATTACTTAAAGCTTAGCATGATATACTCGCCAGTAGGTTACAATATATCATACATTTTGCAAAACTACTTACATTATACACAGCAGGACTGGTTTCAGTTCTTAAAAACTGATATTAATGCAAATATGTCATCTACCATTTTGTTGAACATAACTCCTCTTATAATATGGCTCATACTGTCCTTTATCAATCAATATTTGAACTTTGTTGACAAATTGACAACTTTTTTGACAAATTGACAATGCACATAAGCACAAAAAAATACACAATTTTGATGTGTATGGTGGTAAATGAGACGAGGTCTCAAGTGACCTATTGCGATCGCTTTTTGTCCGGCGTCTTGCGTCGTCCGTCGTACGTCCGTAAACAATTTATATTTTCGACTTCTTCTCCAAAACTCCTGAAACAATTTCAACGAAATTTTGCAGAAACCTTCCATTGCCAAAGGTCTACCAAAATTGTATGGTCTTCAGGTGCTTTACCAAAATTGTTAATTTCATGACCCTGGGGTCTCACATTTCCCCCTGGGAAGGGGGTATACTTTACTATAGTTTATATAGGGAAATCACATTTTGGACAAGCATTTGTTTAATTTCGATTGGAATTAATTCAAACTTGGTTAGCATTATCAGTATTGGATAGCAGATTGATGATATGCACAAATCAGCACTGACAGACCTCATTGGGCTGACGGGTGGGGCCAAAAAGCGTCGAATTGACTGAAATTTCAAAAATCGTCTTCTAAAGACACAGATATGGTAGAATCAAACACTCTTGATAGGTTGAAGGGTCTTCAGGTGCTTTACCAAAATTGTTTATTTCATGACCCTGGGGTCTCACATTTCCCCCTGGGAAGGGGGTATACTTTACTATAGTTTATATAGGGAAATCACATTTTGGACCAGCATTTGTTTAATTTCGATTGGAATTAATTCAAACTTAGTTAGCATTATCAGTATTGGATAGCAGATTGATGATATGCACAAATCAGCACTGACAGACCTCATTGGGCTGACGGGTGGGGCCAAAAAGCGTCGAATTGACTGAAATTTCAAAAATCGTCTTCTAAAGACACAGATATGGTAGAATCAAACACTCTTGATAGGTTGAAGGGTCTTCAGGTGTTTTACCAAAATTGTTAATTTCATGACCCTGGGGTCTCACATTTCCCCCTGGGAAGGGGGTATACTTTACTATAGTTTATATAGGGAAATCACATTTTGGACCAGCATTTGTTTAATTTCGATTGGAATTAATTCAAACTTAGTTAGCATTATCAGTATTGGATAGAAGATTGATGATATGCACAAATCAGCACTGACAGACCTCATTGGGCTGACGGGTGGGGCCAAAAAGCGTCGAATTGACTGAAATTTCAAAAATCGTCTTCTAAAGAAACAGATATGGTAGAATCAAACACTCTTGATAGGTTGAAGGGTCTTCAGGTGCTTACCAAAATTGTGAATTTCATGACCCTGGGGTCACATATTTCCCCCTAGGGAGGGGGTATACTTTACTTTAGTTTATATAGGGAAATCACATTTTGGACCAGCATTTGTTTAATTTCGATTGGAAATAATTCAAACTTGGTTAGCATTATCAGTATAGGATAGCTGATTGATGATATACACAAATCAGCTCTGACTGAACCCAATGGGCTGATTGGTTTGGCCAAAAAGGGTCGAATTGGCTGAAATTTCAAAAATCTTCTTCTCAAGACCCAGATATGGTAGAATCAAATACTTTTCATAGATGGAAGGATTGAAGGTGCTTTACCACAATTGTGAATTGCATGACCAAGGGGTCTCACGTTTCCCCCTGGAGAGGGGGTAAACTTTAATATAGTTTGATTGTGAATTATATGGTCCCAAGCCCCTAGGGCTTGAGGGACGGGGCCAAAAATTGTCAAATTAACTAAAATTTCAAAAATCTTCTTCTCAGGATCCAGATATGTTAGAATCAAATATTCTTCATAGATGGAAGAGTGTTAAGGTGCTTTACCAAAATTCAGCTGACTGACAGAACCACTATTTGTACATAGTACATATACTTCCCAGATCTTTCACACTACTTTGGCATTACATGTAATTCAAGTTGCCTTTGTTACAAAATGATTTCTTTTTCATTTGGCAACATCGACAGCATCATTTGTTTGACATAACTCAGGTGACTGTTAAGGCCCATGGGTCTCTTGTTTTCCCAAATGTCCGCAAATTGCATGCAACTATTTTATCATCCAGTATTCGCTAACGTTCAAAATGATTGGCAGCAACCACCAACACAACATTCCTTATATTTCCAATTTACAACATGGGGCTCATGTTGTGTGATTTCCCCTTTATACTGCTGCGATTGTGCATGGTCGTAATGTGTGTTCCCGTAATACTGTACCCATGTAGGTTAACTGATTACTTGTCTAAATAATTCACAATTTAAAATATTACTTGTACATTTTGTACCCTTTTGATGTGTTAAAGATTAATGACTCGATTTTAAGTTTTATCGAAGACAGTCTAGGAAAGATGTGGATTAAGGTGTAACAGGCTCGCTTATTCACTTTTAAGAACAGTTTTTGTGACGAGGTGATTGATGACTTGTCGAAACGAGGATAGGGGTGTTCTCGCCTGGTTTGCTCAACACAAAGGTCTGCATCAGCACCTTTCTAAAAGAGTAAGTGGTCATGGAATGACCTTCTTAAGAGAAACTCTCTGCTTGAGCGAATTTGTTTTATAAGCGATCAGATCATGTAAATTGCTTCCATATGCTTTTGTCGTCATTGTTTCCTTTTGGAAAAAAAGTTAATCTTTGTCGTTTAATAAGGAGACGTTACGTTTGTTCTATTGTTCTTACTTCAAGCGTTGTCTGAGCTACGAAAAACCTCGAATACAAGCAAGTCCTAATTGTCTGCAGGTGGGGGAGTGTTATAGCGATAGTTTGGCATGATTAGCAATACCGCGTTTACTACAGCGAACGTCTATGCCGAAAAAATACTTGACCTTTTGGCAGGTTTCGATTAACGGGAAGATTTGTCAAACATTTAAGAGCTCTGTTAAAGAGTGCAGCTTAATTATGAGAAGTCTTTGTAGTGTACAAACACTGAGATGTGTTAAAATCGACATCATTCTTCATTTTCCAAAGTGAAGTAATTTGGCTACACATGTCAATTTTTCAACTTTGGAGTTTTCACATTCTTCGCTGTTTTGCTACATGTAAGTGGCATCCTTTAACGTAACTAGTCAACACATTACCGTGATCCTAGTCTACATGTGTGATATGACCTTGTACTGTATCCAAGTACAACATTAGTTTTGGTACTTATCCTGAGATATGTTAAAGCAAACCAGACGCATATCAAACTTAAACACCTTGTGCTAATAAAATAGCAATGATACCTTTTTCCGGAAGATGTACTCAAACTTTTCGACATGCAAATACACTCAGATATGCAAAACGAACATATGTGAAAAGGAGTACTACATCGACCCCTAAAGAAGGAGAGAATACATCTTCGCTTAAGCTGCCAGCACACTTGAGATGGTTTGAAATTAGTTTGTATGTGAGATATGCAGACAATGTCTAACAAATTAAAGAGACATGTGTGCCACACCACAAGTTATTCGATACCGTACATAGCATTGGTAATCTTTCCCTATTTCAGACAAGTTTAACAATCCCTATGTCTGACTTAACAAAAACAGATGTCATATTTTAACTCAATTTAGGGGATTTTGTTTTTGATAATATAATAATCCTGTCTGAAAACAATATTAAGGCTTAGACAAATATGTTCGCTCGTGCAAGCGTGCAAGTGAAAGATGTATTACTTTATATGTTTAATGACGTCATGACGTCAATTGTGTAAGTGTTTTATCATTAGCATTAGTAAACGTCAAACATGTTAAAATAGTCTAGAAATTAAGTGTTCATTCTAATGCTTTTGTACCGAGTGTCTTCGATATTTTTGATCGTTTACCCTGGCTTAGAACGGTCCAGTAACATTAACTGCCTTTGCGGTTGGTTTACCCTTCTACCCCCTTTTTTTTTGCTTACATGATGTCGTTCGTCATTGGATCAGACAGTGTTCACTGTGTTCAATAGTTCATGAACGAATCCTTATCTTGATCTTACTCGGGACTTCGTAAAGGTTGCCTCATGTGATGCAAGAAACCCTTACCCTTCCAGAACTTAAAGGTTTTCCTCCACTTTTAGGGGTTAATTGTGTCTTTTCTTTTAATATTATAGTGTCTCATCTATTTCTCTTATAGTTTTTGAAATGTCATCGACTTTGCGTTCCGGTTTAAAAAAAAGTGTGTATGCATTCATTTTGTTCGTTTTCTACGTTTATTCTATTAGATTGGGGTTTGCTTGTGTATGTCTAGGGGGAAAGAATATTCCAGCTTTATCGTACATTTTTGTCGTACGAGGAGGCGACTTATATTAAGCCTTTGCCGAATCGGGTTTTCCCCCTTGTCTGTTCATAAGCAGTCTTCTGAGAGAATCGAATTGATTTTTAGAGTCCATTTCATTACTGATAACTACCCTTTCGTGTCTCTCGCTTACTTACACGTTCATGTAGAGAATTTCAGCGAGTTGGCATATTAGAGTGGTTCTTTTGTGTCCAAGCATCCGATATATCGTCTTTATATTACTTAAATTGTTACGAGACGCAAACCCTTAAACCAAGTAGTGTACTCCTTTGTTAAACCATAATAAGTGCATTTTTATAAAGTTACTGTAAACGGATATATTTTAGAGGAAATCCTATTTTAGCACTTCACACGCGTTAATCATCGCTCTAAATTATCCATGGGGCAATTGAAGTTCTTGTTTATCATTATCAATTGTTTATTTCGGGGTGCGCCAATTCATCGATGCACTTATCTCTTAAAAATCGATAATACGCTAAAATTCGAGCGCACATAAATAAGAACAGTTACAGTATTAAGATGTGATCTAAGACAGTGAAAATACCAGGACATGAACTATAACCATTTATTATATGCCTTGTCGTTCATATAATACAGATATTATGAGTAAATAATCTTCATTTTAATGCAAATGAGTACCAGTTAACCATAGTTCATGTTATTTGAGGTCATTAGAATAATAGGCATGTGCGTGTAACAACAATTTGAAAATTTTGTACATAATCAAATATTCGACGGAGGACCTTTAATTACAAATTAGTACCTGTGATTAAAAATATGATCATTTCTGAAAAGTTAAACGGAGCGTCTCGAAGATGTTGACGTGGAAATAGAAAAGGTAAATACTTAAAAGTATTGAAGAGTTACAACTAATCAGAATATATTCTTTTATTGTGTTTTAGGCAGAGAAAGATATTCACCTTGATCCCCGCCCAGAGTACCACCGTGTTGTGCTAAAATGGGACCCCAAAGAGGACCTGCCGTTTGCATGCAGCACAGGGAGCCAGATGAGCAGTAGGCTACTAAGCATGTCCACAGCCAATGCTTTACTCATGCTTCCACCGCGTACAGATGAAAAGATGGTTGTTTTGAAGGGAGAAACTGTGGACGCCATGATAATTGGTCGACTATGATACTGCTTTTCCATCATGCCCATCGTGGTGAAACTTGTGCATTTATAGCGTTCATATGTATATAGCCATGACGAAAATGTATTGCTCAGTGCTCAGCAATGTACGTCATACGATATGGTGGTAATAAAGGGATTCTGGTACAATTAATAGTATTATATGAGTAAGGGTGAAGGATTAAAATAGCATTAAAAGATTAAATTGTATTTCCCATTTAATTAATGAATTAATATGTTAGAAATTAAGTTTAAATAATTCAAGGGGCATCGACATTATTATAACAGCTTGTAGCAATTGCTCAATTAATGAGTTCATGATTAAATGTAAAGGAATTCGATATCCATAGAATTACAAAATATTTTTTTCACTTTGTAATTGATTAATTAATTTTCTATTTACACAGTTACGACACCATTATAATCATGTATCAATCAGACGTTATATTCACTTGAGTCGAGTATTACATCATACGTCCACATTAAATACGTCAAACTGCAAGTTGTGTTAAGCAGCAATTTTTCATTACAAATAAATGTTGGAAAAAATATATATTGAGTTGCTGATTTTTCACGATAAACAAATCACGCTACCGAGGTATTTAAATTAAGGGACTTTTCATTTTTCTATTTACTTCAAAAGAAATATATTCTTGCTGTATGATTAAAGTACTATATGGTGTCAATTTCCTCCGGATGATCTCTTACATTTGAAAGCGTTTACAATCGAACAACTCGCCTGTCTGTGCTCTCGCCAATACCCACTACAGACAGCCGTAGAACTTATTATTAGAACACACAAATGTGTGCGCGGTATTCATGTTGATACATGCGATAAATTCTAGCAATCGCTTAGATTAATCTTTTCCATTTTCTGATTCCGTCACAGGAAATAATTCCTTTTACAAAGTGACGTGCAACATGAATGGGAACACGGAAGCCGTAACAAGGTAATACTAGACGGAATCTAAACGGTTTTGGCAATGCCGATTGATATGTTTACCATTCAATTCTGACGTTAAATCATGTACAATATACATAGCTTGAACATTGCATGCCTGTCTTGAAGGCTTCTCGTACATATTGTTAGTGGATATGTGCTTCCAAAGAACCCCTCTGCAGAGGGTCTGGCGTGTCAAGAAATTCTTGTTCCTTTCCTTGACTGATAAACAATTGCACAACGGTAACGCCGTGGACTACGGTTTCCCACTGAACTCTTCGTTAACATCCGGTTTGCTTGAGTATATATTGTACTATCTTTTCGGAAAATATGCTGAGGAATACCTAATTAAGTTTACACAACTGTGTTATTTCATTAAAGTAAGCACATAGGTATAGGTCAAGTGTGTATATTTTATAACACCGCACCCCCATGGCTGTCTACTGGGATTAAGTCGATCACACGACTGAAAAGAAAAGATAACGTCGTGTTTCCCTTACACGATCAAAATTCTTCAGCTAAATCACCTTCCATCTTTTACTCTGTGTTATTGTTTACCCTTGTTGGAAAACACGGGTCTCCTCGGATGAACAAATAGTCATGTGTCCCTCAAACAAGAGCAATACATGTTCACTGTAGCGTAAGACGCAGTATATGTTCATGCAGCAAATACAAAGTCTTTGTTTACCGAAACACCAATCTTACAACTAGAAAACAAAATGTCCTCTATTGATCATCAGAGTGCTAATACTGAAATAATTAGAAACGCTATTACACATCTGCTTCTATAATTTGAAAATACACATCGGTTAATAATGTCTAGACACGATGCAGAATTATGTGAGGTGTAGACATTTGATAGGGAAGTGAATGACATGCATGAAGATTCGTGTCTGTCCCTTAAAATTCTTAAATGATGTAAACCCGTAAAGAATTCTTCACATCGTGACTTTTCGAGAAGATTAAAATTCGTAGACAAGTTGTATATCATCGAAATATATAAAATGGCGACTACCGTACGCGTTAATGGTAGCTTTATTGCAGAGCTGAATGTGTACGATTTCAACCATAAGCTAAATAAGTAATAAATATGCAAAGGATATATTGTATGAATTATCGATAGAATTATATAAAATATACGTTCTTTGATGATTTAAAGACCATACCATTAAAATTATATTGCTTGCATGCGTTGAAATCTGGCATGTTATCCAATTATCTTGTCTAATATTCATAACGCTTTCAGTATGGCTAAATGACTCAAGACATTGCTGTATTCCTAAAGATAGATGGATAACGGTAATAATAAAATGAAAAATTATTGAACAATGCTTAACTATTTATCAAATATTTAGAAAGGGAACTAGAAATCATTTATGTTCGTAATAGGATGAATGGTATTTAAACATTTACTTAAAGTGTCGTAATGAACTAAAGGGGTTATTGCAACGATATCACCAAGGAACATTTATTATCACCAAGGATGTCGATAAGATAATGTTGTGAACTATTGTGGTATTTGATATTTACATCAGACACCATCAGCTGTATTGAAATCTAGCTGTGAATCGCTTCTTTAATGTTTGCGGACTTGGGCATCAGTAGCGGTGAAAAGTTTCAAACATCAGTTGCGGAAAAGACTTGTTGCTTACCGTTATACGGAATGTCGACATCAGACATCCGTTTGAGAGATGGTGTGTTGTTTACCATCGGTTTTTGGAGTTTCGACATTAGAAGTAGAAGAAATGGCTTGTTGCTGACCATTGTTATATGGAGTGTCAACATCAAAGAGACATACATTGAAGAGACCGTTTGTTGTGTACCATTGTTATGTTGAGTGGCAACATTTAACAGACATCAGTTAGAGAGATTCATGTTAAGTATCATTTTTATATGAAGTGTCGACATAAAACAGACATCAGTTGGAGATATTGCTTTTTGTTAACCAATATATGTGGGGTATCAACATTGAACAGACATCCGTGAGAGAGATTCGTGTAAGGTATCATCTTTATATTAAGTATCGACATCAAACAGACATCAATTGGAGAAATGTTTCAAAGCGTACCATTCTTATATGAAGCGTCGACATCGAAAAGACTTCAGTTGAAGGATAGCTTCTTTGGCTACCAATGTATATGGAGTGTCAACATTCAACAACATCAGTTGGGGAGATTGTTTGTTAAATATCATTTTTATATGAAGTGTCGACATCAACCAACGCATGCTTGGAGAGATTGCTTGCTGTGTACTATGTTTATGTAAAGTGTCGACATCAAGCAGGCATCAGCTGGAGAGATTGCTTGCTGAGTAAAATGGTTATATGAAGTGTCGACATCAATCAGGCATCAGCTGGAGAGATGGCTTGTTAAGTACTATGGTCATATGAAGTGTCGACATCAAGCAGGCATTATCTGGAGAGATGGCTTGCTGAGTACTATGATTATATGAAGTGTCGACATCAAGCAGGCATCAGCTAGAGAGATGGCTTGTTGAGTACTATGGTTATATGAAGTGTTGACATCAAGCAGGCATCAGCTGGAGAGATGGCTTGCTGAGTACTATGGTTATATGAAGTGTCGACATCAAGCAGGCATCAGCTGGAGAGATGGCTTGTTGAGTACGATTGTGATATAAAAATTAGAAACAAAACATTAAAAAGAAAGAAAACGAATGTTGCTTATCATTGCTATTTTGGCATCATACATTCAAGGGTTTGATGTGCTCGATTGTTGTAAGTCAATCATCACTAGTTATGAGACAGATTGTTTGCGTACCTGTGTCATGTTTGATGTCAACATAAGCCATCATCAGTCGATGGAACAACTTCCATGCATATGGTCGAGCAGCTTTAGCGTAGATGGAAAATTATATAGTTGACATTATGTTCTTAATTACATACTTCTCAAGATTTGGGATTAAATAGATCACTATCTTATTCAAGCTCTAACAAACTACACGTTGAAAAATATATGTTACTTGCTGTTTAGGTAATGAAGCATAATTCATCTGAAAAACACAGGTATAATGAATTTGATATTTTTAGCAATACATAATCTGAAATTACATTTACAAAAGGTTGAAATACATTAATGAAATATTATAATCGTTTCAATGTGAATATAATTATTAACAGTTAAGTTATGGGTCTGATCCCAATCCAACATTAGACCCAGTTTATTTTCTCTATCTAATTGATAATTTTGATAACTTTCCATTTTCCTCATTCGAAACAAACTTACAGAAGTTAAATAATTGAATTTCTTTATATATTTTCTTCGTTAGCTTACTCTAGGCATTTCAAATTATATGCTTATAATACTATATATATCTGGCTAAATGAAGAGTATCGCACCTATATCATGGGTTAACCAACGACATTGGTTGTATGAATGATTTACCTCACAAAGGAAACACCGTGTAAAATATGGCCTAGTCGTCTCACCAAATAGTAAATACAAGAAGAGCATTTAATAATGATGGTTATTTTCAAATAAAAGTTATTTTCCTTATGCTTCCTTGTTAGTAATATAGGGACAGATCTTTTTCCCTTTTCATGAAATTGTCATTTTCTGTGTGAACTACGCATGCAATGAGAGGTTGCTCCAAGCAGCAGACCCCTTGTTAGAGTCATCTATTTTAGACATATCTGATCCCGTCAATTATTTACGGTTTCTTCCAAACAGATGTTACAGAAATATTCTAAAACAGTTCAGACCTAAACCGCGACCCTGAAGAAACAGGATATATCGCTCGAGTGTCTGATTGCATCAGCGGTCATGTAATTGGTAATCATTTCCATTTGCATTCCAGTCATATCAGTTCACAGTATAAGATTCCGTTCTATCAAGATTCACTATTATGAACAAAACATTAAAAACACATTTTCAAAATTAATTAGTTTTTAACATTTGAAGAAAAAAAGTATGGTTTTATTTTGGTATATGATCTGGGGACCACCGATTTGAAGTCCAGGACTTGATACAAACAAGTTCAAGTATGTAGGGTTTAGGTGTCAACCCACTCATGTAGTTTTAATTTATGTTGAAGAACTAGATGGTAGATGTTACTAGCAGTGATAGGTTCCTATTATGCAGTAATCCGCGACCAAGCAATGCTTGGTGGACCACGATCGACCAGATAATATCACCCACGTGAATACACCTATCCAATGCTGTAATAATGGCCTAAACCATGTTAATTCTTTTGAATCCAACGATTGATGGTTACGTCTAATGATCGTATTACAGTAACACCCCTGACCTCGGCTGTACCATTGTCCAGTTAGCGATTTTGAGGACCTACACTATATTTCCCTTTATCATTACAATGGTTCTTTATTTCAAATTTCACCAGTGATACAACCATCCAGTCATTTTAGCTGGGAACGGTGGTAATTGGAATAACATACATAAAATTATATCTACTGATAAAATAATACTGACATGAAAATATTTTACGTAGTTGACTAACGTGTATAATATTATCATATGATTGTTGTAAATACATTTATATCAAGAAAATAAAAGATTTAGGGTTTTATATAGTGTTCTGTTAAGTGCCACATGACAGGAAATCAGAGTCAAGAAGTAATCCAGACAA